TCTCTCTCTCTCTCTCTCTCTGTCTCTCTCTCTCTCTCTCTCTCTGCTGATGACCCTTCCTGAATCGTATTCAGCTCTACAGTATACGCACCATTTCCAAATTACGGCCATCACGTCACGAGTTCCTCATGAAGCAGACGAAATGGCAATGCGGCACGGGGGCGGCACAGGGGCGGCAGGGGGCGGGCGTGGGGCCGAAAGGGCATTAGGAAAAATGGGGTCATAGCTGAGTTCCCCCCTCCATGATAAAAACCGTGGGAGTGCAAGTCGACATTCGTATTTGAGGTAGCAGAGCACTCCTTCGTCGCAGGCTGTTTGTTGTTATGTTTGCGAAGAGTTGTCGACTGGAAAAGGGAAACTGTTATTATAGCTGATACAATAACGATCCTTTTTAGCAGAAGACGATTCTACGCTTTTTTAGCATTGAACTTCACGCTCCAAACGACAATCAGGTACGGAGGTCGGGGGGTGTCTATGTCTGCAATGTCTGGAAAAGTATCGTGAGAAACGCCACTCCGGGCAGCGAAGCAGGACCTAGCAAGGGGCCGCTGCAGGTGCTGGCAGGGGCACCACCCTCACGGCAGAGCTTGCCGGCCGTACAGTAGTCATCATACGTTATAATGATATGTATCTCACTCTGATACTTTTTCTTCTCTTATTTTTTTTTCGCGGTTGGCAGCACTGTAATGCTTCCGGGAGGAAATGGTGCACCGGACGTGGCGTATCAGGTTGCATGCGAAGGGGCTGTTGGGCCGTGATGAAATGTTGCCGGCCCTGCCGCGGCCCCCAGGCGCCCAAACCTCTAATGAACCGCGAGTCTTTTCTGGCTCGCCTCTCTCTCTCTCTCTCTCTCTCTCTCTCTCTCTCTCTCTCTCTCTCTCGTTCTCTCCTTGACCCGCCCAGCTCGACCCACCCTTGCCCCTTGCCCTTGCTGCGCTCCGGACGTTGTGTTTTGGGGTAAAATTAATATCCAGGGCTGATGATGGTGTCGCCATCTCAGTGAATAAATCAAAGACCTCAAAAGTTACATGCTCCACCCTTGAAACACATTCTCTTCAGAAAAAGTAGGACGGAGTAAAATAGTAGCACTGTTTTCATATGTACACACTAATTTTTTTTGAAAACTTGCCCCATTAAAATATTTGTCTCGTCTCTAACGGATTTTCAGATCTGGTTGAGATTTTGTGCTCTTATGTCATATCGTGCTATCGCCTGTGGAGGTCTCATTTACCACTCGCAATTCCGCCCTTCTCCGCTACAAGCCCCGTCTAGAGGGGGGCATTTGAACCAGCAACCATCGCTTCGCAATCGCAG